CTTAGAAATATCATTTTTACAGTATATACATCGAATACTATCAAGAATTATTCGAATATCACCAATGCATCAATTGTTATACTTATATGAAATTTCGAAATATAATTGATCACTGTACTTTTATTATGTAATATTTTTCAATAATTTTTATATCAATATGCTACATGTCCATTACCAGGCACAGAACTCAGCGCAAAAATTTGCAATCTTATCTACATTTAATCCCTTTATATACATATCAGGTGTAATCCCTTTCCAGGTTTGATAAACATCATCATGTGATTAAAGCATGTGATTTGAAAGCATGCAGTAATGTATTAATGATATGATTGGAAATCATTTTATTACTATTTTATTTGTTGTATAAATCATAAAATAATTGTTTTAAACTGATATTTTGACCAAAAACATTGGAAATTGTGATGTGTTTTAAGTGTATCAATGGTGTTGTGTTTGGAAAGCATTTTATCAATTATTTTACATGAATTCAAATCAATTGAATTGCAATTCATTGACAAATTCACTACATTTTCCCTTTCAATACCAAAACACAAAATATTATTTTTGTTAATTGTTAATTATTATGAGTTTTTTAAATAATGGTGAGTTTTTAAAGTTTACAAACAGTCAAAATAATCCATTATTAAGTGATTTCACAAACAAATCAAAAGTAGACCCAAAATTGTGTGAAAAAATAATGAATTATGTGTTAATGACATTGAATTCAGTTTTACAAATAAGAAATTAAAGTGTAATGTTTGTGAGTATTATTTCGAAGGCATTCATTATGAACACTTCAACTCAACAATAAAGAGACATAAAGAAAGTCAAAAACATACAAAAAATTTGTTTACAAATTCAAACAAACGGAAATCAAGTGAAAATTTGAACAAAATTGAAAAAACAAAACGGGAAACAATTGATGAATTTCTAATGTGTTTAACATCTGCATTCCTATCAGCTGACATTCCATTAGAAAAGTTATTGAATGAAAATTTAAAATCATTTTTGTTTCAATACACCAACTTTAATATACCAACCCCTACACACCTTCGAGTTAATATTGTACCCAAAGTATATGAAGAATCTTCAAAAGGTCAGACAAGCTATTGGGTCAAACAAAGTTTGTCATGTTCGATGAATCATCCGATACCTTACAGCGCAGTGTTATGAATGTTTTGGTCGGTGTCTTAGACGGTAAACCAAATAAACCGTTTCTGATATCAACACTATTTCCTTCAAATACTAAAGGAAAAACACTTTTAAGTGAAATGAAAACAGCACTTGGAAATCTTTGGCTAAACGGTATACGGTATGACGATGTGTTGTTAATAATTACAAATCAGGCTTCAGCTTGTAAAAAGGCTGTCCGTTTGGCCAAATCTGAATTTTAAAATGTAAAAGACGTTACTTGTTTAGCACATGCTATTCATCGTGTGTGTGAGTGTGTTCGTCAAAAAAATGAATTATCAGATAAATTTATTTCTAATATGAAAAACATTTTAACCAATTGCCCCAAACGAAGACGTAATTTTCAAGAAATTACAGGACTTTGTGTCCCAAAACAACCGATAATTACCCGATGGGGTACATGGCTTGAGACTTCATTCTTTTATGCAAAGAATTTTGATAAAATGTGTCAATTTATCAAACAATTACCTGATTCTAAGAATAAGTCAATTATTGCTCTCAAAGAACTCATCATAAATCCAAAAGAACTTAGTCTTGAAATTAAGGGATTAACAGATTTTCAGATATTAACTAAATCTATAATACAAATACAAAATGAGGAACAATCAGTTGAAAATCAAATTAAAATTATTAAATCAATTTTTTCTCAATTAAAAGATAAAACTTATATCATTGAAAAGTTGAAAAGCAGTTTAGCTAAAAATCCAGATATAAATTATTTTAAATCAAATGATTTATTAAACGATTATAAATACGCGCCACTCAATAATTCTTCTTGCGAGAGATCTTTCTCCAGGCTTAATAATATGTTAACTGATTTATGGTTAAGAATGACTCCATCTAATATTCAAAAATATTTATTTGTAAATTATAACCAATTTCTATAACCATAATTAATAAAATTGAATTGTCCAAAATTTTGTTTTACACCGTGTATACATTTTCTACTTTTTGAATTATTAATCATTGCGCTGAGTTCTGTGCCTGTCCATTACTTTATAACTATGTAAAATTTCATTAAAATCCAACATGATTAATCCTTATTCCGATACCTCCTTTATTAATGTTTATTGATTTGTTATTGATAAAATTATAATATATAGTAAACTTGAAATTATTTATAAGTAAATTTATTTAAATTGAATTTTATTTAGAAAGCTATGAGAAAGTGGTACCACTTATACCAGTCATAGAGTTGCCGACTGTCCGGGAATTACCGAAATCTCCAGATCTGCCGAACGTATTGTTCGTTGGCATCGATTCGGTGTCGAGACTGCAGTTCGACCGACACTTTCCCATCACTGCCCGCAATGTTATCAGTGGACAGGGATTTCAAACAATGTATGGCTATAACAAAGTGGCCGACAATACCTTTCCAAATCTCACACCACTTCTTATGGGACTTTACGTCGAGAACCTCTGGAATGAAACAATGAACGCACAGTTTGACAACTTTCCCTTCATATGGAAAGTTAGTTTATAATTTTGATTCACTTATTAACCTAGTTACATTTTTAAAAAATTTTAATTTTGATCTTAAATACTAGGAATATCATCGGAAAGGCTATCAAACATTATATATGGAGGATGCACCCATTATGCATACATATAATTATGAGAAAAAGGGGTTCGCAGACCCCCCTACTGACTACTACCTCAGACCCTACTACTTGGCCATGGACTCTAAGACCAAGGATTATTGCTACTTAGATCGAGTGGATCTGGAGGTCTGTTTATTGAAACTAATGTTTTCTAATTGTTTACTAATTTATATATTATTTTCAGGTATATTACGAGTATTTGTTGGACTTTATCCGTGCAATGAATGTCAGAAAACAGAAGTACTTTGCGTTTCATTTCATGGCTCGACTCACACACGATATCCTCAATAATGTCGGATATTTTGATCCCATTATTGATAGACTTTTTGGACAATTATTTGCCGAGAATTTGGTG